CCATGGGGTATCTGGGGAAGAGCATTCTAGGCAGAGGGAAGAGCATCGCAAAGACTTCGAGGCAGAAGGGTGCGGGGTGTGCTTGAGGAACAGCAAGGAGGCTGGCGTGGCCGGGGCAGGAAGAATAAGAGCCATCCTGGTGGGAGATGGGCCAAGGGAGTGTGCAGGGTCTCCCGGCCCATCCAGAGGACTTAGCTGTTGGGTCAGAGTAAAGGGGAAGCGGCTGAGGGGCTGGCCAAGGTGTGACTTGTTTCAGCGTAAGTGTGAGAGGGATCGTGTGAGCTACTGTGTGGAGAGGAGACCAGCTTGAAGCGGGACTCTGGCCAGGAGGCTGCTGCAGTCACTCCCATGAGGGAGGACCTCAGTGTGGGGACGATTGGGGAGTCCACTTGTGGCTTGATTTTGCAGGGTGAGCCACTGGGTTAGATGTGGGGTGTGAGAGGAAGAGGGTGTCCATGGCAAGGTTTCTGCCCTGAGGACCGTGTTGTCATTTACTGAGACAGGGCGGCTGCAGGACAGGCAGGTTTGGGGAGAACAATGGAGATTTCAGGTCAGAGGTGTGAGGTTGGCGCTCCCCCTGGGGTTGGGGAGATTGGTCCTGGGCCTGCCCCATCTTGTTATTGAAGGGTGATTTCCTCAGGGGCCGTGAGGGTACCCAGTGGGACCCTCCTGCTTTTCCCTTCCTCTGGACAGAGGGAAGAGGCAGATCCTAAGGACTCATTGCTGTGGCGTTGGTCCGGGCCTTCCTGCTGGGCATGCCTCTGGGTGGGAGTTCCTCCTGGGGTGGAGGACAGGGAGCCCTGGAAGGGGAGGCCTTGTCCTGACTCTGCCGCCAACACAGAGAGCTTTTTCTCTGTGCCTTGGTTTCCCCTCCTGTACATAGAAGCATTGAGCTGGCCCCGGGGTCCTGAGGGTGGCAGGGGCACTTGAGGAGGCCGCACAGCACCATGGTCAAGAACCAGAGTCCAGACACGGGTTTGAATCCTTTCTCTGCCAGTGACGTGAGCTCTCTGAGCCTTAATGTTCCCATCTATAAAAATGGGCCAACCTCAGTACCTGTGTCTCAGAGTCACGGTGAGGGTTAAATGAGACAATGTGCACAAAGCGCTGAGCAAAGGCCCTGTCACACACAACACCCAGTTAACCGGCTGTTGGTAACAGTGGCCTGTGTAGCCAGTCAGATTGAAGGGTTTTGCCTGGTGGGTGGTGGGAGCCATGGAAGGTTATTGAGTAGGAGCATGTTTCACATGTGGGTTGAGGGGGCAACTGTTAGTGTGGAGACTCGGCTGAGCCCCTTTCACCTGCCAGAGTGAGACCTGAGGGCCGGCACTGATGGACTCTCCTGACCTTCCCCACCCAAGAGTCTTCGTTGACTTGGCTGGGCAGCCTCTGCCTAGCCCAGGTCCCTTGGGATGGGGTGGTCATTTTCCCTAAGGTCTCCTACAGGACCCCTTGCCTCTCTATCCCAGGGGCTGACCTTACGAATTGAGTGAGGGGCATTGAAGGACGGGTGACAGTGAGGGGACTGAGTTGCATGTAGGGCTCTGGACAGGGCCAGCGGGGGCAGGGCGGGCCTGGAGTGCCATTCCACTGGGCACTTGTGTGAGTCAGGCCGGGTGGCGCTTGCTGCTGTGGAGCTGTGGAAAGGTTGACAACGGCGGAATGTGGCCCCCTCAGGACCCACACTTCAGTGGTGCCCAGGCATGCTGGCCGGCCCTGTGTTTTGCAAGCCTGTTTCCCAGCAGTTGAGCCGTGCCAGGATGGCCAAGGACATTTCAGAGTCCCCCGGGGCGCACAGCCAGGCTGTCACCAAGCATTGCTTGTTTTCCCAGGGTCCAAGGGTTTTTAGGGTTGGAGGAGGCTCTGGAGATATTCCAGGGACTTTTCTCACCAGCTGGGTAAATTGAGAGAGAGCAAGGCACTTGACCAAGGTCTCACAAGGCCGCCTCCCTCCTATCTGTCACCTCCCTCTGTTCCCATGTTCCTTGCTCAGACTCCTGGCCTCCTGCCCAGATGTTCATAACAACCTCCATCTAGTGGGCTCTCCAAGAGCTTTGTTTGTCCTTCTATTATCATAATCTTGCCATAACCTGCCAGGCACGCACACTCTTTGAGTGTGTCTGGTCTCCTGGTCCCTCTAGTCCCAGACAGAGCAGTGCCGCACCGAGATGCTGAGCTCAGGCCCACAGCCAGACCACCCTCCACTGGAATCCCAGCTCCGCCCCTCGAATCCCAGCTCCGCCCCTTCCTAGCTTGGTGACCTGGGGCCAGAGGCTCCACTTTCTGAGTCTCAGCATCTCCACCTGTGAAATGAAAACAGTAGCAGAAATGAAAACCTGCACGGAGTGAGCGCAACAGTGGTCACTTTGTTATCGGGCCATCAATGCTGGTCACACTGAAAAGTCAAGGGCATGGAGGGGAGACAAAGCCCTGGACGGGGAGGCGGGAGATGCAGACTCCATATTCACTCTCAAGCACTGCCTTGGTGTGTGCTCTTTGGGAAGTCACTCCTCTGCTGGGAACACCAATTTCCTCACGTGAGAAAGAGAGAAGAAATCCCTGCTCAGTTCCTATAAGGTTGTCATGTGATGCCAAAGCAATGTCTGTGAAAAAGCTTGGCGTCTGTGTAACGATTTAAAAATGGCACGGCAGTGGCTGTGGTGTGCTGGTGGCGACGAGGACATTGTAGGCACAGCGGTGGACAGCTGGCTTGGCTGCAGGCTGGTCAGCCTGCAAATGCCCAGCGCCCACACGGGCTTCCGTCCCCGCCTGCTCCCGCCCTCCACCAGCCTGCCTTTCACATTAGCCTCAGCATTGCGCCCTCCATGTGGGAGGTACAAAGACCCGATGGCATCCTCCAGGCCCTGTGGGTTCTGGGTGATCTGTGGTTGACATTATGGAATGCCGGGATGAAAGCCAGACACCAGTTTGAATCTCAGCTCAGCACTTCGCAGCTGGGAGCTTGAGCTTGCTTACCGCTATGAGCCTCAGTTTCCACATTTGTAAAATGAGGCCCCACAGAAGTGGAGCCACGCAGTTAGCAAAGGGCCCCGCATCCAGTTACACAGCTGACGTTGTATATAGTGTTGTCCACCTGGAGCGTGGTGACTTACGGATTTATGGACAGTGGGGAGTGGGGGTCATAGTGCCCGTTTCTGGGGTGAGCTGTGGAGGTCAGTTTTGATCCCTACAGAATCTCCCAGCTTAGAGTTAGGAGGGCCCCTGGAGCCATCTGGCATTATTCCATTTTACAGGTGAGCAAAGGCCCAGGAAGGTCCCTGAGGTCACTGAGGTCCCTGAGGTCACTGAGGTCACTGAGGTCCCTGAGGTCACTGAGGTCACAGGCAAGGCTGGGACTAGGTGAGGCAAGTGAGGCCCCGGAGCCAACTTGGAGGAGTGTTGACTCAGGGCGCTGGGAGGTGGCGCTCCCCCCAGCGTTGTGCAGGGGCACACCAGCACCTGAGGGGGGACCTCCTGAACGTGCGCCTGCTGCCTCTCTGGCCTCACCTAGAGGTCTAGGACTAGAACTCTGGTCTCCTGAGCCTTGGGAGTGTGGGGACACCTGTGAGGCACCTTCAAGAGTCTCACTGAGACCCCCTGGGTCCCTTGAAAAGGAGCCTGTGATATATAGGTCACCCGGCGCGGTTTGCTGTGTCTCTGCGCTCTCGCTGCCTATGCTCCAGAGAAAGCGAGGCCCGCCTGTCCCCCCGCTGCTCCCTTCCCTGCCAGCTGCGCCTCTGTGTGAGCATATTGAGCCCCTTACCACCGAGGTGTGTTGGCAGGGGCTCTTGTTATGGCGACAAGCCCCAGCAAGTCTGGAGGGATGAGGCCCCTTTCATGTGGGCCTTGGGTCTCAGCAGGCCCCATGTTATGCCGGTCAGGCCTCCAGAAGATTAGGGGCTTCTGCAGCTCAAGTGCCTCAAAGCTTTATCTCCCTCCTTGGTTCCCCTGAGAACCTGGCTGCCTCCCCTTTGGCCACAGGGCCTGGAGCTTTTCAGTTCTGTCTGGCAGGCAGCCTGGTCGGGGTGTATCCCCCTGGGCCAGTCTGCCCATCACCACCACCACCAGGCCTCAGGTGACTTGTTAAGAGGTGGCCGAGATGGCTCATCCCTGCAGGGGTGCCTAGGATTTACCTGGGGCTGGCCGCATCATAGGCCCCCCTCCTGGGGTGACAGGAGGGGGCCTTGGACAGTCTGCCCCGTCTCCATCCCCAAGCCCCATGCATGCAGGCACACCACCTTTCTTCTCTATTTCTGCTCTTGAGGCCTCAAATTCTGTCATTAGCAGGTTGCTTTGGGTGTCGCTAAAAAGGCAAAAACCCTGGCGGGTGAACGCTCTCACATGTTTACTGCCGAGAAGGAGCCTGGCCCCTTTCCAGCTGCCTGTGTGGCCAGGTCGCTTCTTTCTGGGCTTCGTAAGGCCCTTCTCAGCTCTAGCACCTGACACTTTGGCCGTCACCAGCTTCCTCCTCTGCAGGGCGGGGCCATGGGAAGGGCCAGAAGCCAACGCCACAGCTGCTTTGACCACCAGCTGACCCCACCTGAGAATATCAGCCTTTCTTCTGCCTCTTCTCAGGACAGGTGGGGAAACTGAGGCCTGGAGCAGGGGAGGGCCTTGCTTAAGATCACGTAGGAGGTCAGGCAGAACTGCGAGCAGTTACGCTTGCTGCCAGCGAGGGCTCCTCCTCTCCTGGCTGTCACCTTTCCTGAGCGGGACCAGAAGCCTAAGGGCCAGGGACATGCTTCCTCTTCTTCCGTGGAAGGTACCTACAGGCAGGGGTCCCTGCCTGTTGGGGGGGTCCCTGGGCCGGGGACTGAATTGGGCTGAGGCCCAATAGGTGGGGGCTCGTGGCCTCTGACTAGAGACATGGTGGGGGTGGGGTGCTGAAGGCTTCCTGGAACATGGTTGGTGGCTCAGGGTGCCCTGGGGCCACCCCCTCCCTCCCGGGGAGGGGACTGGCCAACTGTAATGCCATTTGTCCTGGCTCTGGGATTAGGTGCGGCCGTGTTAAGTGAGGAGTGTGGAGCCATTGAGAGGACGCGGTGCAGTAAAGCGGCTGCTGCCTGGAGCTCCGGTGGGTCTTGTCATTTTCTCCCTGGGCTCCCTGTGCCCTCTGACCATGGCCCCTAGTGCCCTCCCTGCTCTCCAGCCCTCCCAGGTCTGTCTGGATGTTTGTGTGCAAGCGGCGTGTGCATGTTCATACCCACGCAAGAGGGGCCCAGGGTGCAGAGGTGGGGGCTGGCTGGCCGCGGAGCCTGGCGCTGGGTCCTGTCTGCCTTCAGGACCAGAGGCAGGTTCCTTCAGTGTCCCAGGCCCTGGGTCGCTGCAGAACTGGCCAGCAGCTTCCTGATGGAGGAAGAGGAGGTGTGGGAAGGAAGGAAGGGATCAGTTTCTCTTGCGACTTCTGACACCTCGGCAAGCCCTCAAATCCACCTGGAGCCGACAGGTCCGAGAGTTAAAGATTTACCGCAGGGCGGCAGGGCCATGGGGAGCTGGAATGGTGAGTTCCAGGGTGCTCATGTGTCACGTTTGTGGCTTCAGTCCTGTCTAGACCGTGAGAGCCACGGCTCATCAAAGCCCACAGGGCCCCTAGAGGGTTTCCATGTTCTTAACTTGGGGGCCAGTCAGAGCCACCCTGAATTTGTGTAGAATGTGGGTGACAGTCCAGTAACAGCCCTCAGTATATTCTCGAAGGCTTCTGTCCCCAGGAGCTCATCAGCTTCCGATCTGGTTCACTCCCCTCATTGTCCAGTTGAAGAAACAGAAGGACAGAGAAGGGACGGGCCAAGTCCGGAGGCACAAAGGCGCTGGGATGCTGATGTGCATGCACTTCAGGCCCACATGGAATTTGGCTTCCGCATCCATGAGATGAAGGTCCCCAGATATGCCTGCTCCTCGGAATTTCTCATGGGGCATCTGGCGATGTGGGGTGGCATGTGGGAGGGCAGGGGCTGGCATTTCCCTGCTCCTCTGCGGGGGTGGCAGCCAGGGGAGAAGCTCAGGGCATGATAAACTTGTTTCTACTTCACTGGGAATCCATGACGATAAATGAGGGCATGGCGGGCCGTGTTTGCTACAGTACCTCGCGTGCAGCAGGCCCGTGAGGTTGTCGGTCACCATTGTCCTTCCTGTTGGTGGTTAGCTGAGATCTCCTGCTTCTGAGCTTCACTCCTGCCTCTCTTTCCTCTTCCTTAGCAGGAGGCCTCTTCCTGGGGCATGGAGGCAGCCCCCCTTTCTCATGTGGGGCTCCTGCCTGGGACAACAGAAGCCCCTGATGTAGGAGAAGGTAAGGACCCCTTAGCTGAGGTCCTGCCTCTCTGGGGACCTGTGCTGGCTCTTCTGCCAGTAACGGCTTTCCCGTTGCAGATTCTCCTGGGTTAGCCTACATGTAGGCAGCTGGGGCTAGCCGCCCACAGAAAGCCTCTCCCTGGATATGCTTTGGGCTGAAGAGCTGGCTCAAGAATGGTGTGGAATGGTGGCTAGCAGGACTATATAGAAGTTACAAGCAGGAGCTTGACGTGGGCTGGCTTGGGCTCCTAGCTCCACCTCTGCCTAGCTGTGTGACCTTCAGTCAGTGGCTTACCCTCTCTGAGCCTAAGTTTTCTTATCTGTGAAGTGCACATGTCAGTGATACCACCTCTCAGGATGTGAGGATTGGGTGTGATAATTCAGGGAAAGCTCTCAGCACAGCCCGGGTGTGGGGCTGGTCAGTTACCAGGAGCTCAGTCACTGCCAGCTGCTGTCAGCCAGGGAGCTTATGGTATTTGCAAAGAAATATCATCTAGTCTTTTTGAGTGCCTGTGATCTGAGCCTAAGAAAAATAGGAATGGATTTGATGGTGTTGCACATGGATTTGGGGGTTGGGAGGAGGGACCCCTATTCTGGGAAGCTGATGGGCTCATGAGGATCATGCCCTGGGGTGGGCCTGCCCATCTGGGTCTGCGCTGGGAGCTTCAGGGGAACTGGAGCCTGACCTTGGGACAGGAGGGCAGCTGGTCCAGATTTGCTTGTTCCCCGCTCCGCCCTCCCTCCTCCCGCTCCCCCCACCCCCACCCCCAGCAATCTGACTTGTTTGTTTGCTCTGTAAGCCCTTTCCTCAGAGCTGGTGCAAAGGTAAACTCTCAACTCAGGCCCTGTTGGAAGAAAGACAAATTCTCCACAAGCAGGTCTAAGTTCCTGAGGTTTCTTGCTGGGCAGTCCCTGCCGGGGAACCCACAACAACCAGGTTGAGAGCCTGCGAGTGAACCAGGGTTTATGCTTTGTTTGCTTGTACATTGATGGATGATTTGTGGGTCTACTTCCAAGAAGGCTCATTAGAGTCTGCTTTTAAGTTAAAATACACATAAAATGGATGAAAACAAAAACAGAAAAAGCTCCATTCAAAGGGCGCAGAGAGTGGGGTGTCCTGGGTGAACACAGAAGGCCCGGGGTTTTGAAGGATGATGGGCTCGGTGGCTCTGTGCTGAGATTCCCCATCACCCACTCTTTAGCTCTGTGTGCTGGGGTAACTCAGGGGCCCCCTCTGGGCCTCAGTTTCCTCGTCTGTGAGATGAGTGGAAAGTAGCTGATGGTGCTGTCGTAAGGGTTAAATAATAGCACTCAGGCATATCCTGTCTGATAAATGGAAATTCGTATTATTAATGCTTTCAGCTCAGAGATAACTCATAGCAGATTCAAAAGGGGAAGGTAGCAGGCAAGGGCACATAGCTCATGGGTGTGCCGACTGTGGGTAGGAGACCACTTCTGCCTTGGAGCATTGCTTCCTGTGAAGTTGCGGACCAGTGTTCTAGTTGTAAGAGCAGCTGACATCTGGCAGTAAATCTGGCATTGCACGGTGGGATGCAGAGCAGGGGGTCGAGGACTTGAAAGCCACAGCTGGCAGAGTCCCACCTCCCGCTAAGGCTGGCCCGAGAGGGGGATGGGCAGGGTTTTCTTGGAAAGAAAATGAACCAAGGTAGGTGGGGGTGGGTCAGGCCTAGCAAGTGCATCCCCAGAGGTCCTTTTCTCTCTCTGGGCCTCATTGTCCCTGTGTGCTCACTGCAGGGTGGACTGCACACTCGTTGGCCTTGAGACTGAGCTAGACTGCAGTAGTCCCTTGGTGGTGGCCCTGGACTCCAGGGTGGCTGATGGGCAGCAGCTTGGCCCGGAGCCAGGCAGCACTGCAGGGCTGTGGGGGATGGGGTGTGCATCAAATTCCAGCAGAGGAGGGATTTGCTGGATATGGGCCTCCCAGGGGTGTGATTGAGCTGGAGAAACTCCTGCACAGCTGGGAAGCAAATGTCGAGTATTTTCTCGGCTGTGCTGTACATGGTGGGTGGGGTAGGTTGGGGCAGGGTGGCTGGTGGAGTTTGGTGGCTGTGGGGTGTGTCTGGGTAGAGGGTGGTGAGGTGACTGTGCTGGGGGTGTGACAGGCTGGGAGGGGCTGGGCCAGCTGTGGGGAGTGTTCCTGGGATCGCTTGTGGGACTACCAGAACCTGGACTGCAACCATCCCTCCACCCCCAAACCCAGTGCCCATTCACATACTTTTTAAAAATATGTATTTTATTTATTTCTGAGAGGAAGGGAGAGGGAGAGAGAGTCAGAAACATCAATGATGAGAGAGCATCATTGATCAGCTGCCTCCTATATGCCCCACACTGGGGATGGAGCCCACAACACAGGCATGTGCCATGACTGGAACTGAACTGTGACCTCCTGGTTCATAGGTCAAAGCTCAACCACTGAGCCTCAATGCCGGCCATTCGCATACTTTTGAGCCTCTTTATAGGTGTCCTCCTGCACCTCCTCTCAACTCCCCACCCTATTCTCTTGCCTGTGGCCCAGATGCCTGTGATGGCACCATGTGAACATAACAGCATCTTAAGAGTTTTCCTGTGCTTTCGTGTGCATGTGAGTGTGGGAGATATAGGGAACATTTGTCAGGCATAACCCAGGCAAGAAATCACATCTGGGCTGGGTGAGCATGCGGGGCTGTGAGCACCTTCACTCGTCCTGTAGCAGCATCACAGCAGAGACGTGAAGCCTCAGCCCAGAGGCCAGCACCTTCAGTGCCCAGGGCCATGCGTGCCCCTAGTGGTGCTCGGTAGGTACACAGGAGGGAACAGGGAGGGGCCATCTGCTCCTCCCTGACTCCCAGCGTGCTCCCAGACCTGTCCTCCCCTCCTCGCTTTCTGGATCCACTCTTAATTTGATACGTGGCCTTGGGCCAGTTCCTTCCTGAACCTCAGTTTCCAAGTCTGCTAAATGGATAATGTTTCTTAACCTACATCACTGTGTGCCTGGCACTGAGCTGTCGTCTCTCTTAGTCTTGGCTGCGTTTAGATAAGCAGTGTAAACCCCATTTTACACTTGGGGAAACTGAGGCTCAAAGAGGTTGAGTGATTTGCTCAAAGGTCACAAAGTTAGTAAATAATGGAGGCCAGATTCAAGCTCTGGCGGGTTGGCTCCAGGCGGAGCCCTTAACTGCCATGCCAGCAGCCACTGCTGCCTCTCAGGTTGTTGGGATAAAACAGCATGAGGCATACAGACCTTCACAGGAGGCCCACTGCACATAGTAGGCACCAAGTATATGCAAGTTATGTATAGGTGCACGTCACCATGACAGGCACAAGAAGCTCAGTCATTGGTTGCACTTGCTGAGCCCACCTGTCCATCAGGGCAGAGCTGGACCCCTCCCCAGTCCTGATCTCTGGACCACTTGCTCTCTGGGAAGACCCATATAACTCTGCCTCCTTTCTCTCTGGGCCCTAGAGAGGATTATGGGGACCCAGAGCATTTCAGAATAGGGAGTGGGGCAGGAGTGACTTTCAACTCCCAAGCAATGGCCACAGTTACCGTGGTATTTCCGAAAGTGCGGCGTTGCCATGGTATCTCCATGACGACCAGAGCATCTCATTCATTATCCCCAGCACCTTGGCAGGGAAAGCTGGACCTAAGGCTGGGAGAGCACAGTGGGAGCCTGGCTGAGGGCTAGAGGCCTCTGTGCTTGAGGCCCCCTCATGCTGTCCTCCCATCCCAGTCAAGGATTCCCTGCAGACCCTGGACCCCCTCTCATGGGGTCTGGATTCAAATTTCAGCTCTGCCACTGACTAGCTGTGCAATTTTGGGCAAGTGACTTAATCTCTCTGAGCCTCATTTTTCTCAATTATAAATGTGAATAATGTCAGTATTAGTTGTAAAAGGGCTTAGCACAGGGCCCAGCTCATGGTAAGTGCTCAATACATGGAAGCAGTAAAAATAACAATGGTGACAATTATAATGTTGGTTTTTTTAAAATTATTATAGAAACCTCTGAGTTTCTTGGAGGAATGACAAGATTTTGAGTCAAGATTTAGCAGTTTCCTATGTGACTGTGGCACATCACTTCACCTTGAAGCCTCGGTCTCCTTATTGCTCATTTATTCATACCCTGAGCACTCGAGAAGGACCTATGCCTGGGAAAGTCTTGGGAGCTTCCAGGATAAATCAGACTTATTCCTGCCCTACAGGGCACCCAGGCATTTGGGGAAGGGAAAGAAAGGAAATTGGTATTTGGGGAGGCCCTCTGTGTGCCAGCTGCCAGGCAGGGCCTGCCCGCACAGAGGTCAGGAAGTCCTGGTCCAGACTGGGACCTGCAGGCTGCAGAGTGCAGAGCTGTTCGTGGAAACATCCCGAGTCTACTCTGTCTGGACCACACGCTCAGGTGCACTCAGGGGCTGGGCAGGAAGCCAGATGAGGGAAGGAGGGGCCTGTGGCACTGTGCTGACTGGGGAACACATGGCCAGCCTACCCGAGGCAGGTGCTGTAAATGCCTCCGCTGATGGTGGCCAGTGGGGATGCGTGCCCCGTGTCACCAGAACGTGCTCGTTTTAAAGGCAGCCTAGAAGTTGTGTGAAATGCCCTGATTTTAAAATGTTGATAACTAATCTCAAAAATGTTGTGCAGGTCAAAGGGCACACATCTGCATCCTGTTCTGGCCTGAGGTCCTGATTTTCAGCCTTGGCTGTGGCATGGGGATGGGTGGGAAGCCTGAGGAATGGGACCCCCCGGGGGCAGGAAGGGTCATGGTGCGTGGGGATGACTTCAGAGAGGTGATGACATTGGAACTGGGGTCTGGAAGGATGAATAAGTGTCCCAGGGGTAGGGGAGGCATTCCAGGCAATGGGAACGTCATTAGAAAGGCCTAAATGCTTGACCAAGATTGGTGTCTGGTTGGGCGAGGCTGGAGTTTGGCTGGTGATGTCAGCAGGGCCCAGGCAGGGTCCAGGCCCTGGGCAGTAGGGGTTGTTGAGGCCTCAGTCCCCAGCTGTCTTTGAGGCCTTGGTGGCTCCAAGGGGGATTAGAAACCCTCCAGCTCCCCATCCCTAGAGCCTGGGGTTCTGGCACGCAGGCTATTGGAGGCCTTGAGTGATTGGGGTCAGACCTGTGAAGGAGTGCCGGGGGGGCGGGGGGGGCAGTGCTGGAGCCAGCTCACTGGAGGCCAGTGCTTATTCACAAAGCTCCTGGCCCCTCCCACTCCCACCCCAGGTACTTGGACTTCTCTGGGGACAGGCTGGTGGACCCATTTTCTTGCTTCCTTTACCCTCTCTCTAGCCTGGGCTGGGCTGGGCTTTACCATGGCCTTCTCCCTAGCCTCCTGGCCTCTAACCTTCTGGCCCCTCCCTGCCCATCCATCTAGTTCCTGGGAAAGGCCACAGCCTCTGCAAACGGGGATTCAGAGGGAGCACGCAGAGCTTTGCAGTGTTCGCGGGCTCAGTTATTGTCCACATGATGAGTACTGGAAATAAACAACAGGCATGATCATAGCGCTGGCCCTCCGCGCTGTGCATCAGCCATGGCTCTGAGCACTTCATATGGATCAACTCACTTAATTTTCACAGCTCTGGGAAGTATGTCAAGTTTTTCTCTTTTACAGATTAGGAAATGGGGGCACATAAAAGTTAACTTGCCCAGGATCCCACAAGCACTGGGTGGTGGGCTTGGGTGTGAACAGAGGTGCCTGGCTGTATGAGCCTAGGGCTTTAGGTCCATGGATGGGTTTGGGGTCACAGGGTCTGGACTTCTTGAAATCATTACAGCATTTTCTAGGGCATGTGCATATTTTTTGATGGAAAATGTTATCTGATTCCCACAAGGGTCTATGTCCCCCAGATGCCTCCGACGCTGCTGATCACATCATTTCCACACACGCTGAAAGGCTGTTAGTGCAGTAGACTGAGGGCCAGTGACCATAGCGCCCAGGCCTGCGAGGGAAGTGAGGTTGGGTGGCCTCAGGCCTCAGTGGCAAGCAGGTCACCATTGGAGCAGCTCTCCCTCTCCACCCACAGGTCTGTCCTGGCCCCGGGCCAAGGGGTGGGGCTCACTGGGATCGTAGGGCAGAGGGCTGCCCTTATCAGTGGGAGTAGGACACAGGTGCACCCTAGGTATAAACAGGACCAGTTGCCTCGGCCCTCCTGACTCCGCCCAGGAAACCTGTCCCTTTTTGCCTGCTGTCAGCTGGAACTTCTGAGTCCCTGGAAAGCCCACACACTACCTCAACTGTAAGCTTCGTGTGGTAGGTGCCCCTCCCTCTTCCTACCCCTGGGCAGCCCTTACTTGTCCTGCTGGTCAGTTCAGGTACCACTTCTTCCCGGAAGCCTTCCTCGGTCCTCCTCCCTCCAGGGACGTTGTGGCCTTCAGGTCTCTCACACGCCCTCCCTTCCCCACTGCCACATCATCCCCCTGCCTTGTAGGTGCCTGTTTTCTTGGTGGCCTCGGGTTCTCCATGGTGGTGGCACATAGTAGGGACTGAATTGTAGACTTGCAGCGGTTGAAAGAGCCCCCAGAAATCATCTGGCTTAAACTCCTCTCTAATAGACAGGAAGCCCATAGAGGGGCAGGTTGTGCTCCGGGTCACACAGCACATTATGACAGAACTGGGAGCGGACTTGGTGACTGAGACTGTCCTCCCCTTGCTTCTGAGCACACCTTTGTTGTTGTTGTTGTCGCGAGTATCACAGATGTCCCCTAATTTCCCCCCTTTGCTCCGGCCCCACCCCAGGCCTTCAGCACACTGTTGTCTGTGTCCCTGGGCTATGCATGTATGCATAGAAGATCTTTGGTTAATCTCTTCCCAACCCCTCTCCTCTCTTCCCTCTGAGATCTGTCAGTCTATGAGCATATCTTTTGAAAACATTTATTTTCTTATTTTCACAAAAATACCAAATGATTATTATAGGAAATTTAGGAAACGAACAAAAGGAAGAAAATAAAAACCCCTCCGAGATAATCATTGTTAACATTTTTTTTTGATTTAGTACCAGTTTCTAGCCTATGCATAAAATTTTTTACCCAAAGTATGACAATGCATACTGTTTTATACAAGTTTTCCACTTTAACAATCTATATGGTAATTCTATTGCTGTGTCAGTAAATGTTCTTTGACGTCTTGTAAATGGCTGCCTAGGATGCCATCACATGCTTGCGCTGTAATTGCCAAAGACAGTCCCCTGTTGTTGGGCATTTGCTTTTGTAAACGGCATCTTTGCTGTTATAAATAGCACTGGGGGCATATTTTTGCGGGGAAATCTTTATACACTTTGCCATTAAGGATAAGTTCCTAGTATGAGTTCCTAGAAGTTCTCTGGCACGGCATGTCGTACCCATGTGGGACACCCTGGATTGCCTTGGAGCTGGGGAGGGACTTCGAAGATATTCACCCCCAAGTCCATGTCTAGGCTTACATTCCCTCCCCGGCTGCACCAGCCCAGGCCCTTGCACCTCTGTCCCTGTCCCGACGCCCAGTGCCCTGGGGAGCTCTCCTGCTAGCCTTCAGCAGCTGCTTCCACTCATGTTGAAGGGAGACTAGAGGGCTGTGTGTGGGGGGATGCTATTTGGGGTGATGGAATTGGGGCCTTAGTATGGGTGGGTGGTCTCATCAGTTCTCCAGAGAAACCCATACAGGCAGCATGCCTGTCAGGGGTTGGCTGAGGGGGACACTGGAACCCAAGTTCTGGCTGCCTGGGGCCCTGCCCGCCTTCCCTTGACAAGCTCGGGATCCTGGTGTGTGTACCTGTGTGGCATGAGCCCTGAGGATGGAAGATGCCTGTTGCGTTGGGGCAAATAGTGACAGCTGCCATTTCTGAGCTATTGCTGGTGCCAAGCTCCTGGGCTGACTCACTCAGTCCTCCCTGAGCCCCGGCCCTGCGGCCCAGGAGTGCTGATTTCACAGATGAGGTCACTGATGCTTGAGAGGGCCCTTCCAGCACAGCTCAGCCGCCCGTGCCTCACAGCCCTGGCTTGGCTGCTCTGCCTGAGCCTCAGCCTTTTCATCTGTCGATGGGGCTGCTGCGCCCATTCAGAGAAATGGGGGAGGGGAGGAGCATTGCAGGTCATTGAGAGAGAGACAGTGAGGACGTGGTGTTCGAGTGTGATTTAGAATTCCACCTCCAGCTCCAGGCCTGGGAAGTGTCTACAGTCTCAGTTCTTCCCACTCCTGGCGTTTTCTTGGTCTAGTCTCTGACTCCAACGACTATAACAAATAGCAACTGCCATTGTAGACACCAGACGCTGGGTGCTGCTGTCAGCCATGTACACACCTTGTTGGACTTAATCCCCCAGCCTGTCTTGTGAGCTGGGTCCCACCGGCAGCCCCTTTTCGCACACGGGGAAACAGGCTCCGAGAGATTAAGGAGCTCTCGCAGATCATTCAGCCAGGTTAGGCAGCAGTACTTGAACTTGGGCCTGAACACTCATAAATTAACCCCAGAGCCCACATGCTGACTCTTCACTCTCTGACTTCTCTCCACAGCCTTGGCCCCGGGGGCCCCACCAAGCCAGCAGCATGTGGCATCCCCGGGCCTGCCCGGTGTCTTCCTGCCCGCTGCCCGGCCCCCCCAGGAGGCCCTGACGCCCTGGGGTACTTCTGCTGTGCACAGGACCACGTGGGGGTTTGCCATGGTGACATAAAGGGGCGAGGAGGAAGGAAGGAGCACAACCAGCCTGCGGACGGTGCCCCTGGCTGGGAGGAAGGGCCGGCGGCCCGGATCCTCCACTCCCACCGCCCGCTGAGGGCCTCGCTTGCTAACTGTCTGTGAACTTGTTGGCCCGTGGACAACTCCGGTGTCGCCTTCTGCGTGGGGCCTTGGGGTGGCCAGGGCAGGCTGGGCCTCTGGTGGCCAAGGTCTCGGAGACCAGGATGCCCACCCTGGCGCGCCTCCGCAGGCTGTGTCGGCACGTGTCCCCACAGGCCATCTTTTTCCTGCTGTTTGTCTTCTGTGTGTTCAGCGTTTGTGTCTCCGCCTACTACCTATATGGCTGGAAGCGGGGCCTGGAGCCCTCGGCAGACGCCCCCGAGCCTGACTGTGGGGACCCGCCGCCTGTTGCCCCCAGCCGCCTGCTGCCGCTCAAGCCCGTGCAGGCGGCCACCCCTTCCCGTACGGACCCACTGGTGCTGGTGTTTGTGGAGAGCCTCTACTCACAGCTGGGCCAGGAGGTGGTGGCCATCCTGGAGTCGAGCCGCTTTAAGTACCGCACAGAGATTGCACCGGGCAAGGGGGATATGCCCACACTCACTGACAAGGGCCGTGGCCGCTTCGCCCTCATCATCTACGAGAACATCCTCAAGTACGTGAACCTGGACGCCTGGAACCGGGAGCTGCTGGACAAGTACTGTGTGGCCTACGGCGTGGGCATCATCGGCTTCTTCAAGGTACGCAGGGAGCAGGGTCCCCGAGCAGTTAAGAGCTCCAGCTAAGTTTGAATCCCATCTCCACACTTGTTAGCTGAGTGCCTGACCTTTCTTATCTGTAAAATGGGTGTCATGGTAGCACCTCCCTCCCAGGATTTTTGTGAAGGTTAAATGGATGAGTGTATGTAAGGCACTTGGGGCACCCTGTGCCTGGTGCCTAGTAGGTGCTTTTTAAGGATTAGCCTTTATTAGGAGCACATGGCAGGGGAATTGCCTGCCATGCATGGGACTTGGCATATAGCAGGTACTTGCCTGACGGAGGCCCCAGGGATGGGTAGGAGAGGATATGCTCTGCTAGGTCCCTCAAAACCTGTTGTGGCAGGCCTCCTGAGGGATGGGTATGTCGTCCCCATTTTGCAGATGCACAAACCAAGGTTCAGGGGGGTTAGGTTATGTATATGTGTCTGTGTAGCCTATAAGTGGGAGAGCCAGGATTTGAACCGAGACAGACAGTTTGGGCTCTGGATCACAGGCTCTTTCCTCTGGGCTGTGGTGGAGTGTGGGGTTTATGCACCTCCTGAATTGGAGCCATTTTGCATTGGGAGAAAGAGAAAAAGAAATCACAGTGGGCAGGCCAGCTGCTCTGGGCTCTGTGGGGCACCCAGAATGACTGCTGGGGTCAGAGTCCTTGTTGACAGTGTCCTGGAGAAGCTGTCCTTGGGGAGGGGCAGGTGGGGACAGCTGGATGGACATCCAGAGGCTCTGGCCAAAGAACTTTGACCTGCCAGATGAAAGCACACTTTGGTTGGGACTCTAGCTGGGCGCTTGGGGGCATTCGTTCCTTAATTCAGTCAGTATTTACTGAGCACTTAGCATGTCCAAGGCCCTGTGCTGTGCACTGGGCACAGTGGTGGTCAAATGTGCAAGGTCCCTCTGTCACGGAGCTGACGTTGCCGTGAGGAGGGGTGGGTGACAGACAATGAACAAATAAACATACCCTGTGCAGGTGGTGAGACCTTCACAAAGAAATACGCAGGCCCAAGGGCAGAGTGGGCAATGGGTATAGCGGTTGAGACTGTTTTTGATAGAATGGCCAGGGGAGTTGTCCTTGATATAGTGACTGGAAGGAGGTGAGGGAAGGAGTTGTGTGGCTCTGTGCCAGGGGCCTTCCCGGAAGAGGGGAGGGTAAGTGCATGGGTCCTGAAGCAGGCTCTTGCTTGGCGTGAGCAGGGAGGGGAGCAGGAGGTGGCTCGGAAGGAGCCCATGCCCACTGTTGGATGACCATGCGTCCCCACGCGTTTGTGGACTCCCGTGTGCTGGGAGGAGCCTGGCGTCATGACGGGTTTCCACAGCGTGTTCTTATATGCGTTAATGCAGCAGGACGCTCTGCCACCCATTGAGGTTTTGTGGGTCAAGGAATTGAAGGCTCTTAGAAGTCCTGCAGTAGAGCAACCTGGTGAGATTTGTTCCCCAACTGGCTTGATCACAAAGCCCTTTTCCTCACAGATCGCCCTCCAGGAAATGCTGACCTGGTTTATGGCTTTATAGTGGCATAAAGTCAGACTCTCTTCATTGTCAGACTCTCTTCTTTTCTCCTGGACTCTGTTCCCTTTCCTTCCATGGACTTCATTAAGATCGAGTCAGAGCCCCAGGCCTGACATTTATCGAGTGCTCACCCGGAGCCATGCCCTGCCTGTCCTATATGCTTCACATGAATTAACTCATTGAACACTCGTAGACCATCCTCCAAGCCAGGGAGATACCCTCCTGATTTAAGAGGAAGCAGATAGAGGCAAAGAGGGGTGAAGAAATGTGCCCATGCGCACACCTCCAATGAGTACAGATCTAGGGTTTGAAGCCAGGCGTCTGGCTCTATGGGCCTTAGTCTCAACCATCATGCAGTGAGTTCAGGAACCTCATACCATTTATTTAGTAGAATTTGCATCAGGGGCCACATCCAGTGCACAGAGCTCCCAGTCTCTGGAAACCAGGCAGTGGACTGTTGTCATTGGGCACAGTTGGTACAGCTGAGAACTTGGATCCCATCTAGCCCCAGTTCCTTGCTCTCCAGGTGAACATGAGGCCCTGCGAGGGGCAAGGACGTGCTTAGTAGGGTCAGTGGCAATTCCAGGTCTTCCTGCTCTTCCTACCCTATTGAATAACAGGAGACCCCTGCTTGGTTTTGATCAGAGACCTGTGACTTTCTACTCTTACTGGCGCCCTCTGTCGGCCAAGATAGACATTTTTGGGGCTCTTTCTGCAAGGCCACCTTCAGCACTGTGCATTGGGTTGGCCAAACCCACATGGTTTGTGGACCCCAGGGATCTGGAGATTCATTTTCCAATTCCCACTGGTGCTGCATTCCCAGTTCAGCAGGAGAGCAAGGGCAGAAACGTCCAGGCCCTTGATTAGATCTTGTTGTCACCTAAAAGCAGAGTGACCTTGGACAGGATACTACTCAAGCCATCTGTAAAGTGGAGCCAATCACAGCTCCTGCCTCCCTGGGCCATGTTGAAGACAAAGCAAGACGGGGTGGGCAACTCCAGCACGGTGCCTGGTGCCTGCGGCCACCCAGTCAATGGCAGCGGTCATGCTTTGTCATTTCTGTGTCTAGCAAACAGCTGGTGGAAGCACTTAGTCTTATGTCTCTGAGCCTGTGCTCACGAGAGGTCCTTAAGGTGGAGCAGGTCTTCATCGGCAGTCCCAGTTCCTGACACTGACAAGGGCTGCCCGACCTTTTTTTGCACACTGACTGCATGCCAGACACTGAGTTCGTTGCTTTGCTTGCCTTACCATGCGTAAGTCTCACAACTGCCCTGTGAAGCAGACACTTCCTTTGCAGGTAAGGAAGTAAATTAAGTGGCCCGGCTGGTGTGGCTCAGTTGGTTGCGCCTTATCCCATGCACTGAGAAGTCGCTGCTTCAATTCCTGGTCAGGGCATATATCCAGGTTTCGGGCTTGATTCCCAGTAGGGGAAGTGCAGCAGGCAGCCTATACATGTTTCTCTCTCATCAATGTTTCTCTTTCCATCTTCCTTCTCTCTCTCTAAAATCAATAGAAACATATTTTTTTTTAAAAAGTTAAATGACTTTCTAGGATGACACAGCCAGTAAGTCAGAGCCAAGATTTGACAACCACACTCCTGGCTTCTAACCCAGAACAAGCTGACGCGAGGCCTGGAGAGGACACACGGGGTTCCCAAGGTCATCAGCCAGTCATGAAGTCGGTACTGGGCTTCCCAGTGCCTGGACCAGGGCTTCCTTCCGCTGCCTCGATGGCCTCATTGGAAGACTCGGTGTCTCCTGGGTGGGTCTTTAGTGCTGAGGGACAGGAGGGGTTCCCCTCCTGCGGGGCGAGGCCTGCCTGGGGGTCAGTCTCTGTGATGCGAGGCTTACTCTCCATTCCCTTCCCTGCTGGTTCCTTTCATTGCTGACAGAGTGGACAGTCAGCAACTTGGCTTTTCCCCTTCTTCAGTGTCTTCCAGCTGGGCAGCTGGCTGAGCTGCCAGCGCCTGGCAGTCAGCTCAGGGTCGGGGCTTTGAAATGGGATCCCCCAGTGCCTGTGGTCCAGTGTGACCTCCCAGGCCACAGCAGGTGAGGGACAGGGCCTGAAACACAGTTCTCATCTTTGACCCGTGCTGGCTTACAGGGTGGTGGGAGACTGGGGTTGGGAGAGGTGGCCTCTCAGGGCGGGGCGCTCTGCATTGAGGCTTGGGACAGAGTGGGCAGTTGGCAGTTACTCCTGGTAACTGATAACATCAAATTCGGCTCCTATCGCGGTTTACAAGGCCAGGGCCCTGCAGAGCCTTTGTGGGAATTAGAAAAAGCCCTCCTGCGTGAAGGAGAGTAAGAGGCACCTTTGTGGGCAGATGCAATTCTACCCTGGGGCACAGCGGGTGCCCTGGTGCAGTGCTCACCTGGCCAGCTCTCCAGGGCGGCCCTAGGCACCACCCGCCTCCCTCTCTAGCCTCCCTGGTGCCCGTTGTCCACTGTTGCTTTGCCCCCACCCCACTC